ACATGGCCCAGAAAGTATTGTGTCTGAATAGAAGCCTTCAGGCTAAATTGGGGCCAGTTTACTTCCTTCTTCTTTGGAGCACTTCCGGTGGTGTAGAAACCTCCAATTAGGGGGCAGAAAGCAAACACTGAATAGCTTCAGTGAGGGGTATTTCCTCCTAAACTATGTAACCACAACTAGAAGTATATTCAACATTAAAAGGTGTTTTTTTTAATGTAATTATTGATAAGCCATGAAATAGGAGATGTGGCAATGACTTTTTCCTCTTCCTATGTGTTCAGTGGTGAAGGAGGAGTTGGTAACTATGCTTGTCAGATCTAGCTTTCAGGAGGGCCAGACTATTAGCACATAGGCCTAAAAGATTGGTGAGGAGAGTCATGACCAACACTTCCAACAAAAAGCAAGACTGTAGTGGACAGCTCAGCAGAGCACTTAAGTGTCTATAGTATGCTTTCATATGCATTGCTTAATGCAGTTCTTATGCTTAGTTACCTAGCAATAGGTAAGCTAAAGATATTTGATTCTCCCAAGCTTATAAATAGAAAGCAGTGAAATTTAGCCAGGAACTCAGGTGCCTTGACTTCTTCTTTTACTTTTTCTGGCATCTCAGCTGTCGTTTCAGGGTGAGACTAAAAGTGATAAATGGGCATTTTCAGGAATTTCTCCTGCTAGCATTGCTCTCCTAACATGAAAAAAAAAAAAAAAAAAAAAAAAAAAAAGTTGAAGCCAACTACTGTTCTTTACAACTATATTCAACTTTGAGAAGACCATAGAAAGCAAGCGGCAATGTGCAGCTTAATGTCTTTGTATCTTAATTTCCTCAGTGATGAAAAGGGGAAATCCTATTTTGCAACTTGAGTGTTCTTCAAATAATATACTAAAGCACTGAGAATCTTCTCTAACACACAGGAAATGCTTTATAAAGATCTCTTTAGGACAGGCTTCCAATATTTTTTTTGAAAGTGCAGATTATAAATATAGAATGATACTGGGTCCTCCTAACAAAATAATAAATATAAATTTTAATAGTTATAGCATGATATTGAAAGGTAGCTGAAGAAAAGAAGACAAGCCTATTTTCTATAATGCTTTAAAACTATATAAAGAAAGGGTAAGTATAGCTGAAAAATACATTATAATGAAGAATTGTGAAATCTACAGGTTAGTTTAGTATCCTAGTAGTAACCCATACTTGAACAGACCTCTCTATTCCTCATCAGGTGTAGGTGACTTCCATATATTTGGGTGACCAATTTTTCTGAAATATTGTTATATAATGCATATTAGCACTTCAGCTTTGGAGGAACTACTTGTTTTGTTAAAACTCAGATGAAATTGTACATTTTTTACTTATTGAAAAATATTCTTGAAACAGTTCTTCACACATTTTTGAACACTTTATGTTTCACTTTATACTTTTTATCGTGGTTATTTTCAAACTTTTCTGTTTAGCCTAGGCTTCTACAAATTCTCGAACATGTTTTATCTGTGTCTTTATCCTGTACCTTGTATGTTGTACATATTCATTAAATAATTTATGAATAAGGGATTTTTAACTTAATGAGAAAAACATTATAATGAACAATATGGAAGAGAACAAGTAAAAGCATTGAGCATGTATGTATGTATGTGTGGTGTGTGTGTGTGTGTGTGTGTGTGTGTGTGTGTGTGTACGCATGCATGTGCGTGTACTCTAGTAATAAAAGACCCAAAGCAAAATAGCCATGTGATAGAAGAATTTGCTTATTCATAAAACTAAAAGTCTTGTTGCAGAGCAGGCTCAGAACATGAACAGACAGCGAAGGCTGCGGTGCCATTTAAGTTGTTCTTCAATTTTTAAATGATTATCCAGGTTCTTTGCATTAGTTGCTTTTATCCTCAGGATGGATTTGCAGCAAAATAGTAAACAGATGACCATTTGAGCTTAATAAAGAAATTTGCTTCCTCTTTTGTATCAGAGTTGAGGAGAAGATGTGTCTTAACAATCACCAAATTCTTGATGCTCAAACCAAAGTGCATGTCTATCTATGAACAAATTTATGCTGACTGTGAAGGTGTGTGGTGATAGATGTGGTCCTGAGCTAAGATTTAACCAGGAGTATTGGGAAACCCTGGAGGTCAGACTGAGTTCACTGTCAACAAAGAGAAAACTGAAACACAATTTGATGGTCTGTTAAGAAGGCTGATTGGCCAACAGAATGAATTTGGGGAAGCTGCAACTTGTCCACTGATTAGTCAGTAGTTTGAACTTCTGATGTTCTAAAAATAAAGTTGAAATTGCCCAATGTTAAACTGAAAGACATAACAAAGTGGTAAAACAGAACTGCAAATAGCTCAAAACAAACCCGATTCTCCTCATACGCTTTTTTCATGTAAGTGCTCTTTGAATAAAAACACGTGATTCTTTTGTCCTCTTATGCTGCCTAGTAGTTGATTTTGGGCTTTTAATTTTGAAAAAATTTATTGTAATGATTATGAAAATATAAGAGCTTATAAAAGTTCAAAGTAATTATTTCATATCTAACATTTTGTTTACTTTCTTCATGACATCAAAGCATAAAAAACAAAAACAAACAACCCCAAAGATAAATACTATATGATAGTTATGCTCTTTATGAATTTTTTTTGGTTTACACAAGAGGTAAAATCACACTTACACTCAGCTTTGTTTAGTCGTGAAATAGCTAAATGAGTGACTTTAAAGGAGATTCTACACCAAGCTAATGAAGTGAAACTTGTCATCCTTTCCTGCCCTAAGACAATTACACACCACACCCCACATCCCCAAGCCAGTTGAGCAGCACTGACGCTGCGCCTGCTGCGTCCCCACCTGGACTGGTCGTGTTTGTTTGGCAGTCACATTACCAAACCCGCTGAATTCCTCTGCACAGCTCTTCTACCTCCCCACCCTACTTTTTCCCAAACCCTTCAGCCTTCACGTCCAACCATACACAAAGACCCAACACATTACTAAAATATGATAAGAAAAATAAAAACATTACCCTATAACATTAGAAATGTTTAGAGTCTTCATTTGTTATGCTAACACTGCTGGTGTATTAATGAGACATAGTTCTGTAAGATAGCTCAGCTTCCCTACCCAGAACACTTGTGAAAAATTGTTGAGAAAATGAAAAGGACTCCAGTGTTTTTAGAACATATCTTCATGATATTTAATAAGGATTTATGGTCATCTTGGAGAGTGACTCCACCCAACTGCAGTTAGACAAGATTTTCGACTTTCCCTTCCAGTTCTTAGTACTTAAGGGGTGGGAGTGGGGACTTTTTTCCTTGTTGCTCAAAGGATGGCTGGAACTTCAGGGTACCGACCTGACATGCTATTAATGCTGTCCTCAGCGTCCCATTGCAGGAGCGGAGGATTCACCCCTTTCAGGGAGGATTTAACAAAGCCTAGAGTTCATTCCCATCATTATTTTGCACACTGGATTTCCCATGGAAGATGTTTAGTTTGACAAACAGTGGTGAAAATGTATATTAAATAATCTTGTTTCTTTCTGCAGTCTAGTGTGTTTCTCCATTTTCCTCTTGCCCATCCTCTTTACAGGTTTTATGTAAGTATAGAATCATGTAGATGCTTGATTTATAGACAAACAGACAAACAAATAGAGATAGAGGAATAATTTTTTAAACTGAAATTCCCACATACTTTCCACTGGAACTTATCTTATTAGGCACAATTACATACCTACTATTTTTCCAAGTGGAGATTTCTTATTTTCAAAGTCTAAAGATACCCAGTTAACTGAGAATGAAACAGTGTCCACCTTTGGCCTCACCAACGTGTACACAGGTGAAGATTGCCAGTAGGATCTGTGCTGCAAATCAGTCCTGACACAAAATACATCGTAAGGGTTGTGAAATATTCTAATATTCAAATGTTCTAATCCTCAGTAATTCTAATTTATTTTAATCTAAACTTCAGAAATATCAAAACAAATTCTTTTCAATTTTTATCCTTAAAAAATACTTAGAAGAAGAAAAACATTTTTGTAGGCCTCTTAGAATCTATAGATTTTTTATATTTTAATAAGCTGCTTGCTTTTCAAATAATTGCTTTGGTGCATATCAATTTTGAAATCTTAGAGTTTGAGAGAAAATACACTTGTGTTGAATAAGCACTGCTCTGAACATACAGCTTTTAAGCACATGTATTCAAAAGCTAGTTTTTAATCCTGTATCTTAGCACATGCTGTGAACATGGCCAGAACTGCAGCCAAATTCATTTAATTTGTATTCTGTTATTTCTGGAAAATAAGCATGTGTGCATAGCCTTTGGCACACACAAGCAAACACATACTAGCAGAAAAATTCTGACGTATTTGCTGTTTAAAAGCAAAACTTATCATCAGAGATACAAGCTGATCTCTTGATTCTGAACTTTCTGAAGATCAAGAAAATGGAATCCTAACAGGGGTCTACATATTTTTTACTAATACATTAAATAAGATTATTGGTATTCAGAGTCTAAGTACATGAAGCATCATTCCTTTGCAGTAAGAAACAAATTTTCTCTGGTTTATGTTTATGTTTATATCTATGTGTATGTTTATCTATAATTAGAGTACATTCTATTGGTTGCCTGAAAGGACTTACATCTATTCACTGCTGGAAAATGTGATAGCTTTTGGGTTTGAGCCAAATAAGAAATAAGTTAAAATGGTATTGAATCCTGGAAAAAATAGGACAGTATTTGAAAACAGAAAGAGGAAACATGTGGAAAACAAATTACCATCTTATAAAGTCAAGAAAGGTATAGATATTTTACTAAATCATCTTACACAGCAATGTGACAATAATGCAATTTATTTTAATTTCCTTTTGGCTTAGTATTTTTGATTTCTTGTTAGTTACCCATATTACTGGAATCTCATTGTTTATTGACATTTCTCATCTTATCCTATGAGGATTCTGCTCAAATATGGTTCCACTTTATTTTTTGTTTGTTTATTGTCAACTATTACATTTTATCTCATTTCCAGATGTTCACAGGAATGGAAAGGAAATCGATGTCACATCAAGTTCAAGCATAGTAATTCCACTTTTATGTACACTCCTAAAGGTACGTGACATGTCTAAACAAATTGTTTGGTTTGTGGCAATTAATGTATTTTGCTATATATTTATTTTTTCAACTGGTTTGGAATTACAGACCTGTGGATCCTTCTGGGTATTGGATTTGCTTTCCTGATGGCTCATATTGCAATAGCCATCTTGTGTTTTCTTGCAAACAGAAAAGTATCAGTAAGGTAAGCAATGCTTTTAATTATTGAAAGGCATACATACATAGCAGGTTGGTATTCTGAAATATTTCACTTGCTCTGTTTTCTTTTCTCCATATACTGAATTGTGAAATGTTAACGTTTCCATATTCTAAGTGGTTTTTTTTTTTTTTTTTTTAGTGTGTTTTTCTTGAGGGAAGCTAGAGCTACATAACAATAATTCTTCTTATTCTTTTAGAAGGAAATAATTAAGTTTACTTTTCAGATTATTACTTACAACCTTTGGGGGTAACAAAAGAAGAGAGGAATCAGTGACTGGATACATACTTTTATGGCTTGTTTTTAGGTGTTCCTCCACAGCCTCGTGGGGAGATGGGAGATGGGTTTTTGGAGGCAGCTGAATCTAGAGTTTGTTACTGGTTCATTGTCTAGAGCTGTGACTCGGCTGGGTAGCCTACATGCAGTATAAAGGAGGAAAAGAGGCTTGCTTCTCTCTTTTACCCCTCTTGCTCTTCTTGCTTTTGTTGCTTTTTGCCACCGTGAATGTTTGCCCCTCTGCCATGCCTGGCTGCTTTAGGGCCAGCTGATTATGGACCCCATAAAATATGAGCTCCATAAACTATGCGCAAAATAAACCTTTTCTTCCTCAATTTTGGGTGTCAGGTATTTTGTCTCAACAATGAGAGAACAGTAACTACAAGATAATCTCGACATAATAGTAGTTACCATAGTGTCTCTTCCCTTAAAATCTTTGGGTATAACTTCGTATACTGTAGCATCAAATATATTAACACAATGTACAACCATTCAAGAGAATGACAGTATTACAGGGTATTTAGAATCAACTAACAGAAAATGAACAATGTTGCTTAAATGGCTATGTTTTGACCTGCACTGTTTTGTTGTTATGCCCTCTTTTTTATCTCAATCTCCTTTTTATTATCTACTTTTTCATTTTTATCCTTTTAATTAAGGGAAAATAAATAAAAAATAGCAGGATATATTATAGTAACCCACTTTGATTTCCTATTAACTTGATTTGAAACTCTGTATTGCTCTCACCATCTTGTTTTGACTGATTTTCCTCTATTCTGTTATGCTAGATAGTACCAAGTTTGAAAGTCTAGGCAACAACTATGAAGACAATAAGATCCATTGTGACGCCCATTCTGGTTGACTATTATCTTCTTTTGAAGTCCTCTAATGTCTCCAGTGTTTTGGTTTTATTTATTCTTTACTGTTTTGTTCAATTTTATTATAACTGATGATATAGGCAATTCTTTTTAAGGTAACAAGAGGCATTATGGTAACCATTGTAGATCACCTTGTATTTTGTTTTTACATTATGTGTTATGTCCATCCTTTCGATTTGACTGACTCTGTCCTGGTATGTCACATTTGGTTTTGCTTTCTTCAAAAAAAAAAAAAAAGTAGTAAGAACTGTGGGAGTAATAAAACTCAAAACGTGTAATTGTCATTGTACAAAAGAAAGGAAAAGAAAGTGCTCTAAAGGATATAACTGCATATATATTTAAGTGTATAAGATAGATAACCATATTACTGACTTTTTTGGATCATTGAAACTGTTTGCAGTCTCACTGTTTGAAAGTCCCCTCTATAATGCTTTAATTTTGTAACTTCAAAAACTATTTCTAAGATGACAGTATGTAATTAATTAGTGATTTCCTACTGTTTATTTTTTCTGAAATTCTGTATAACTTGTACCCTTTTTCTGTTTTTTTTTTCTTTTTTTCTCCTTAAATAAAATTAAAAAAAAAAGAGAGAGAGAGAGAACAGTATCTAAAACACGTACCATTCTGGTGGTGCCCAAGGAGATGGAAAAACTCCTTTTTTGGCTCATGTAAGGAACCTGGTCATTCAGGACCTAGAAGATACTCATCCTAATTTCATGAACTAGGGGAAAGTTATAGAACTATGCTGTTCGTTACCAAAAAGATGACAGTTTTAATAAGCTCCCATTGAGATCTCATTCTTGTATCAATTCTTTAATTTTTATGTGCCTGAATACCCCCGGTAATGTGAAGTTTAAAAATTACAGTTTCTATTGTATGAAAATTTCATGTGGGTATGTGTATATGTATGTATAAATATGATAGAGATATCACATGTATATTTGAAATATATAAATATATATTTGAAATATATATTTTTTATATTTAAAATATATAAAGTATGTATTGGTATGGAGATCCCTTCCTGGACCTCAGCATAGTTCAAGAAGTTTGTATTTATAATCCCATGTTATTGGAATTCTAACAAGTTAATTCCAGTCTACTACTTCTAGTGGAACACAAGTTGAGAATAAAGGCATTAAGTCATTTTTATAATTGTGGGAATCTAAGAGGTCCTAAGTCTAGCCACGATGAAGGTGCATCAGAAAAAAGTCCTCCACTCAGGACCCAACCTGGATTTTATTAATTCATGAAGCAGGGAGTGTTTTGAGGATGAGTCACTGTGAGAATGGCAGGAGATAGGTAAGCACGGTGAGCTGGCTAGGTAGGAAGCCTGAATATATAGAGAGAAGCATAGGCAGAAAGACCAATCTGTAAATCACAGTTGCAGTAGCATTTAATGTTCTGGGGGCTAGTGTTTCCACTCTGATGTGCAACCATTTCTGCCCTGGGAAATCATAACCTCTTATCTCAAAGCTCAAACTCAACCCAGTTGATAGCTCTGAAGCCATGGCTGTTTACCTTGCCCAACTGAACCAGGTTTTTACGAGTGATAGTACTGTCACCTAGCTTCAAACACTGTGCATCCGTACCTCATTTTTTACATTGTTTAAAGTCAACTGAAGGGAAAAGGAAATAACCTAGCCAGCTCTGTAGATACCAGTACACGGAGATAGGCCAGGTTTACCCAAGTAGAGATAATTGCTCATTGCCCAAGAAGAGTCATCCTGGTATATATATATATATATATATATATATATATATATATATGAGATAGCAGGAAACAAAGGGAGAAGAGAGGGAGGGATGAAAAAGAATTGAGGGTTAAAACATGAAGATAAAGCTTTTGCAAATGGGAAGGGGACAAAGAGTGGGCAGGAACAGGGAGGGGAAGATAGGATTAAAAAACAAAACAATTAAGAGATATTATATACATGTACCATTTTCATACAATAAGCATAATCATTATGCATTTTTATTAGCACGAAAATGTGCTAATAAAAAAACATGAATGAGAAGCTGTCTGAATTGTGAAGAAGTTTTTTTTTTTTTTAATCTAATGGGAGAAACATACAGGATCTACTAGATGAGGCACTAGTTTTACTAGTTGTGAACTGTAATACACATACATATGTAAGTTTGAATTCTCCAGGAAAAAAAGAAAATAAAGATAGATAGATAGATAGTCTCCAAATAAATAGAGACAATGAGAGAAAGAGATTAATTTTTTGCTGGATGTATGTCATGCAGTTATGACACTGGCAAACTTGAAACCTGTAAGGCCTGTTGGTAAAGTGGAAATTCAAGTAAGAGTTGGTGGTGAAGCCCTGAAACCAAACGCTGCAGGCCACACCAGCTGGCCGGAAACTTTAGCAGAATATTCATGTTACTGTCTTAAGGCAGAAGTTTTCTTTTTGGAAACTTCAGTCTTTGCTCTTGAGACCTACTCACATTACAGTAAGTAAAAAATCAGATTGCTTCACGTGAACATTTATAATCAGTTGACTTTAAGCAAAACAAAGCACTGTAAATATCATATTAGAAGCAAAGCATACTTTCACAGCTGCCTCTAGAGCAGTGTTTAACAGAACTTCTGGGCAGGGCATCATAATTTAAATCAATGCATCAAGTTAATCATCACAAAATATGATCCAGTTGTCACATTGATGCAAGCTGTAAGAGGATGCAGGAATCTTCATTCCACACCTTATCCAGGCTCTCGTAGGACAACCTTTATGCTTGGGCTATGAAGCAGTGTCACTGGCAAATGTGTGTCACAGCTCGAAAAAGCCGTCACCTGTCCTTTCTCCTTTCTGTCACTGAGGAGCACATGTTTCCTCCTTTGCTCTTCATGTCCAGTTTTTGTTAAATTCTAGTTCTATTCTCCCTTTCCATGTTTGTTTGTTCATCTTATTTTAATTTTCTTTCTCTCTGCTTGCCTAGACTTGTGCTTTTCTTACCATTACTTACTGATATTTCCCTGGGTTTGTCTCTTCCCTTCCATCAAAATATCTGCATATCTTCCATAGGAGATATTTATTTCCAGTATTTCAAATGCTGTTGTCAGTGTTAATGGTGTCAGCTCTCTCTTACTGAATTTCTAAACTCCAAATCCATACCAAGTTTTCAGCCATTTTCTAGACTTCTCTTTATGAATTTTTCCCAAGTCATTGGAATTTAGTATCATTTCTGTTTCCATAAGCATACCCTTTAAAATTCCAGAATAAAGGGTAAAATTAGTTTTTGAGCTGAAAATTTTAGCATACCTGTTTTTATTGTCATACCAGAACAAACCAGAATTTTCTAATCTGAAAATAATAACTCCTCTTTATACAAATGTCACAAGGAATTGAGTGCAATTAGTTATTCCCCTCAAATAGGAGACTTAAAGTACCACACAAATGACTCACCAAAGATTCCAAATAGAGTAAGACACAACCCCATCCTGCAGACTTACTAAAGGAACCAAATTCTGCTACATTGACAGGGCCCTCAGGAGAAAAATGAAAAGAAAGGTGGATACAGGGTTCTTGAAGACTTTGTGCTTGGGGTAGGACAGCATTTGTGGTGAGAACATTTTACCATTTTCCCAGAGAAAGAAGCGGAGGAAACAGGAAGACACCACTATCAGCACTGCCCAAAGCCCAGTGATGACGGGATCCAAAGAATCAATAAGTCAGATTGGTAATATCAAGAAAAAAGGGTGAAGGATTTGAAGACTTTGCTTCTAGAGGCTGAAATAGAGCATAGTATTGAGAAAATAGTCCTAAAAGGACCTGGAAAAGGGGGAAGACAGAGGGAAGGCATACTATTTCATAATTACACATGGGAAGA